ACCACCCCCAAAGTTTGAAATTGAAGCATTATTTCGACTAGTTATGCTGTACACAGACACACACAAAAAAAAACACACATCATTGTAAAATCAATACATTCATCACTTCGTTCAGAATCTAAACCAATATCATATAAACTAATTTATGAAAATGTGTATAGAATTTATTTAGTATTTTGTTGAATATATATAGTATATGTATACGTCCATAAGCACAATATTGAAAACAATAATTAAACAATATTTAAAAAATCATCAGGAATCTACCTATTTCACGACGAAATATTGTTTTAAGTGTCTGATTCCACACATAAGAAACATAAYATAATAATATTATAGTTGAATACGCATTGATATATAGATAGGTGCGCGTATACAAAACAGCAAACACTTCAGAACCGGAAATTAAACGTGTTAGACCACACGTCGTAATAAATAATAATATTTCGTTTYGCGATATAATTAACACACAMAAATATGCAAATGAGCAACATGRTCGAGATAAATGTAAGCCTGGGCATAAACGAGTTAAAAACTTAAAGTTAAGTTAATTTTAAATTTTTTACTTGACCGTTTTAAATGTAATTTTCATTAACTTAATTTTTAACTTAACTTATTTTCATTGATACAAACTTAATAAGTTACGAGTTACTTTTAATCAACTTCAAGTTAACTTAATTTATAAATAATTAAATAATAAATAAAATACAATTATTATTGATAATGCATATTAGGTACATAACTATTTCCTAGAATAGGAAATTAGAAATATAGTTAAATTTATTTCTTGACCTATTAATTAAAATACTTCAAAAAAAAAATTAATTAGATAAATACATTTAGATATAGCAATAGCCATATGCCTATCTATAGGTATATATCATATTTAATATTATAATTTATAATATATAGGTGTATTCCTATATGTATAAAAATATGCCATAGCATACTACGGCATACGATTATTATAAGTATAACAATAATCAATAGTTATTCTATTCCGTGATAATACTAACAAGTAACAAGTAATTCGATATTAAATTATTATATTGATATAGATACAAATCACAGACGTAAAATTCTTAAGAACATATTATAAAATGTTTTCGTCTTAAATAAATTATTTTTAAATTAAAAATAATTGCGTTATGCTCATATTATAAATTTTGTATGCTTTTACTGCAAGACTGGGAAAGTTAATGATTTTTTTTACCTCAGTTAAGTTAAATATTTTTTGTTCAATTAAATTAAAAGTAAAGTTAACAAATTTTGTTAACTTAACTTAACTTCAATTAATAAGTTAAGTTAATAAAAAAAAAA